AAATTATAAAATTTTTCACCAGGTCTGATGTACATGGCAATTTTGGTGAGTTTTCGAGTATGTTTAGGGCCTCAAAAACGCGTGTCTTTGGCACGAATAATAATAAGAATCTGAGCAGTTCCAACACGGTCTTCGCACCCTTTTGGGTGCTCGGACCTGGGGTTCAGAGGGTTAAGTTAGATGGGAAAGTTTTATGAACATGTGTTTTCTTAATTGAAAACCTTCCGTCAAACCCGAGGAAAACGAGCGGCGCATTCATCCAGTCAGATGTCAGTAAGTTATAAAGTTGATGAGGGAGGAAACCTGTTGCTGTCCAGAGGCCTGTTGGGTTTTAGTCTTCGTACACCTTTGATGGTTTTCCAGGGACGATAAAAACATGCAGAGGAAACGCTTCACCTCGTCTCTCCTCTAAGCTGATGCAGCTCTTTCTCAGTATTTAACCAAAAACCCAACCAAGTGTTCTGTAGCCTAGAATGCAACTGAAAGATTTAGGAAGTAAACAATCAAATGTCATTATTTCTACCATGAGTAGGAAAGATTGTTTAAATGTGAGGACTACTAAAGTGCAAAATATTTTGTTCTGAGCATTTTTGGAAGACGTGCATTCCTGTAATCCTGTTATATTTGTGCATATCACGGCTTCGTAAGGTTTTACCGTTTCTAAATTCAGTAATCCAATTACATTTACTGATCAATTACAGTTACCCCTTTGATGTTGAGGCTGTACTGCCAGTGGTACCTTGATTTTCCCATAACATTTACCTACGACGTGCTCTTTGGCTTTGCTTTACCAACTTTGCTGTTGAGTTTTCTTCAGTGAAGAGCATGAAATAAAGATCTTCTAATGTAGTATAGCAATGCAAAGGTTGAGTATTTTGATGGATTTCGTTGTATTGGGAGTAAAAAGTTAAGTAAAGCATAACGTTTCTAAAAAAAATACTGAGTCACACATTAGTTCTACGGCATCCACTGTGTTGTGTTCATCTGTAAGAGAGACGAGTCGCTGTGTGACAAATGACCGCAAGTTTTGGAAAAGTTAAAAAACAAAATGTTGGTTGTTGTCACCTCGTTGTCTCCTTGGCAATCCTACAAGCACTTCATTTAGTTATATTGACACCTTTAATGTAATGTAATCAGGAAATTAAAATTAAAATTCATGGTTTCGTGGGTCTTTTTTTTTTACATTAACTGAAATATGTCGGTACCATTTGTGCATTTTTTTCATTTCAGGCCAGAACACAACATCCAAAGAATTAATTAAATAATAATAATAAATAAAAATGCTGTACTGGAGTCACGACATTACTTTTAACTAAATAAAAATCAGGTGATAGAAGACTGTTCCTGTTGCCTCTCTTCACTTTGGCCCAGTTTCCTCTCCCAGTGTATCCTAAGGATTACCGAAACCAGCTTCTCTTCTCTGCACCAAAGAAAACAGGAGTACACTTCTGCAGCTCCTCTACCAGCGCCTCCCTCCTCCTCCGCCTCCTCCTTCTCCTCCGTCTCCCCCGTCTCCCCTTGCAGGTGGCCCCGTTCGCTACTTTGAACGAGGCTGCGGGGCTGTGGGAGGAATTCACATGTAAATAGGCCACTCGCTCTCAATAGACTGGGGGGGAAGAAAAATGAATCCCCGTCATGATAACCTTGCATAATAAGCAGGCTGCGAGCACGCATGCATCGCAATGTCCCCTTTTTAAGTACGCAACGGGATAAATCTCAAAACTCAGCGGAATAAGAGAAGCCTCTGGAGACGGGCTTATGGGGGGAAAGTGCAGAGACAAACCTTACTGTGTCATGGACATGCAGAGCCACAGCCTTACGCTACGTGTTTTTGCACTTGCACCGAGATGTGCCCTGTACCCGGTGTTACCTCCGGATCCAGAAGCACGACTTCAGATTTCACCGGATTCTTGGTGAAACAGGTTGTGTTCGAGCATGCATGTGCTCTGGAGGCCTGGCGGAGTGTTAACCCCGGGGTTCAAGGTCGAAGCAGGAATTTACAGACTGTCTGCCGCATGCTTACAGTCGCGTTCTGGCTCCCGCTTAGTTCAGACTCACTTTAACCTTATTTCTCAGTGAGTCGTTTAAATTTCACCTCCCTTCAGCTCACAGCGTGGATGTCTCATCGCGCCGGGCCGCTTGCCTTTATTGTCAGTGCGATTTCACGTTGACGGCACATCTTTACTTCACAAAGGACGGCTGATGAAAGGCCTAATTATTAGCATAACTAATCATTCAGAAACTACAGTTTCAGTCTCTGCTGTGGCCCATTGAGACATTGTGTGCACGGATGCTGATTCAGTGCAACGCTGATCCATAGACTCTCACTCACATAGCTTGTGTTTATTTTAATCTTAATCTATGGACAGAAAACTCCCAATTTGATGGGTACTGGAGGAGAAAAAAAACCTAATACTACGTTTGTTTTTGTTTGAGGTAATTTCAGATGTCTGAGCTTCATGAAGCAGACGTCTCCTTCTGCACGTTAGGTAAGCGGCACCTGGAGCGCGTCCAAGGCTTGTATGGACATGAAACTGCTCCTGATTGAATAACCAGCACAAACAAGGTTACCCAAAATAAAGTCAAAGCTCGAGGCTTGTGCACAAACCAACTCCACAACAGAACTGCAGCTTCAAAATTAGAAACGAGTTAAACGAGGGACGCACCAGCAGTTACTATGGCGTGACTTTCTGTGCAAAAACAAAGCGACTTTGCAACAGCTCCTGTCTGACCCCTTCTCCATAGCAACAGAGGGCATGCCCCGTGGGTTCTGTAGCATTTACAACCATCTCTTATCTCAAAATGACAAAGTATAGGAGTAAAGTTCAGAAAAATTCAAAACAAGCGTAAATCAGCCGGGTTAAAGTCTCCGTGGGACTCTTTGTGTTTCTATGTATGTTGAGGGTGTTTCAAGGGTGTGACCACGTTGAGTAACACCAAGGATATCATTAAAAAAAAACACTCTGACATGGGAATTTACAGTGCGGAGAAATCCTTCAGGAACTCCTCCCACTTTGTAGCTCTGTGATAGGCTGCAGAAAAAAATCTGTTCTCACATAGTCGAACATTTTGTTCAGCTGTATGCCGCCCAACCTGGAAAATAACTCAGTGGTGCCTCAGGCGTCTCTCCGCCAGAACAGTGGAGATGGCTCCAGTACAGTACAACAGCAGCACTGAGTGGGAAGTACTGCACGGATGAGCTGCTCCAAATAAGACGAAGGCAGCGCAGTGCACTCTCACTTCACGTTGTTAGCCTGTTCCTGTGCCAAACACACCATCTGAGGTTAATGGGTTAATGGATGGCCCCTGGACAAGAGGTTTATTCACCCTAATCCACCTATCACAGAGGACTCTCCAAGGACCAGAGGAGGGGGGAAGACAAAGGGGACAGCCCTGAACAAGAAACATGATTACACCGTACAAAGTAAACTGATTGTACTCGTTATGGCCACCATGTGTTTTTAGACATATTGAACCGTGTCAGCAAAAAACAAAGCGTGAGAGGGAATGTGCTGCGTGACGTACAGAACCAGTACCTAACAGTAATCCCTCGGTGAGTGCTTCGGCAGATCAAAGGAAATGACCTGAGCTGCACACACAGGCCAGGACACACAAAGTGATTTACGCTCACGCAGAAAGCTGACGTGGCTTCCAAAGAAAGGGAAGCAGAATCAGGAAAAGTGTGAAACTGCTTTTTGCCCTTTGAGTTTCCTTCCTGTGCAAACAAGTTAAGGGGCACCTGGGCTTCCAAAAACATGATTAGTCAACATTTGCGAGGCGTCCGAGAACCTGACGACCGTGTCGCCACAACAGTCGCGACCTTTTGGTGCGTGTCGGTCCTCCTCGTGCACAGTTCCCCTCTGCTCTGAACCATCTGATCAGAAAACCTTTGACTGAATCAGAAAGTGTCCCACTGAGTTCATTCGCTTTCCGCTTTAGTCCTGAAGTGTGCAAAATCTAGTGCTGAGAACATGTTATTTTCTATTTTTGAGCGTAACAGCCCCCCTGAGATAGAGCACAAAAATCCCACATCAAGGTCGTAATTATGACATTTAACTGGAACAGATATTTATACGGCGGGGTAAGTTTGCTGATTTAGTCGGCGAGCGGTGCAAACTAACCCGTCTGCAGTTATTTCAGAATGCCAGCTGCCGCGCCGGCCCGCTGGACTCACAGTCATTAATTGTTTCAAAGGAATGAGAGAACAAATGGCGTTAATGCACTGGGCTGCATGTCCGCCCTCAGCTCCGTCCAAAAATACTCAGTCATGCCCCTGGCTTCACAGCCTCCTGCCCCGGCCTGTTCGACTGCCCTGACAACATTTTAAAGCCCTGAGGATGACTAGTCCGCGCTGCAGCCAATCAGTGCATTTCTTAGCCCTTTGCAGCGCAGCAGCCAATAAAACATTTAAACTGTGGAAGGCTTTGGTTTGTTATGTGGATCCTAAAGTAAGGCCTCAGTAATGGTGCTCACATGTGTGGTATCCCAGACTAACGGTGTTTCTATGTGCAGTTAGCTCATTACACAACATGTAAACACTGCCACATGGGTACTGTGTGTGTGTGTGTGTGTGTGTATATATGTGTGGGAAATACAAGCCGTCTTAGATTTTCTGCACACAATCACTTAAATGCACCTTCAAGTTTCGGGTGTGTTCCCTCGTCAACGCAATTAGTGTGCAAGCTGCGTGAAATGAAACCCAAGAAGTGATAATTAGCGGTTAGCTTGACTGAGCGTGTATTTTGTTTTTTTGGGAGACGCCGTGCATCACGTGGAACCCGAACAGCCAGTCCTGCAGCGTCAGCCTTCCAGCAGCGATAAGAGATCTGTTCTCGACGTGTTCGTTACAGTAATCGCCCTCCTCTGCCAGCGTCTTAAAGCTCAGGCATGCCGTCACCTAAATGACCTGAAGGTTGCAGTCCTGACTCCCTGACCTTCTAAATACAAGTTCTTCAAAATTCAAAAAGAAGAATATAATGAGATCCTCCATAACACGTCCATATTGTTCTAAAGATATTTTATTTAGCAAACATATTGCATAACCTGTCTAGTGACAACGTGGCCGTACAGTAGCATTTGCTGTAATTTGCCCAAACACTTCTGTAAAATCCAACACAACTTTATCTATTTAAAAACTGTAAACTCCATACAAAGTAATATTCTAAAGTGCGTTTTAAAAAAAAAACAACAACAACAACAAACAAAATCAGATATAAGACAGCAAGTAAACTGATAATAATGCATGATAATACTTTTCTTTCACAAAGAAAGTCCAGTGTAAAACAAGTTAGAATAACAGTAAAAATAAAAACGGCCCCTCAGGTACAACATGGTTCAATCATTTACCAAACAACCCTTCAACTCGTCAAAGCCTTTTCTTAATTTATTTTTGGTAATATTGTTTGGAATCGCTGTTCAAAAAAAATGGTCATACAGCATCCGTAAAACAACTTCAACCACCCTTCCAGACCCCACACCATCAGTGCTTTTTACTCCGTAGAAACTCTTTATTACATATCCACACATGTCTGAAACTTTCTCATCTTCATACCGTGTTCCTTTACGTTCACTTCCTGATCAACAGCATAAACACAAGACCAAGGCGGGAATCCTAAAGCTCAGATCTGGACTGATAAAACTCAGCGTACTGAATCTAAACCTGCGGCGGAACCTCGAATCCACCCAGGAGAAAAAAATCTTATGTTTCCTTCACATAAAGCAGCAGAGGAGTCTGTCTCGTGACGAGTCTATCTCTTTTTCCTCTGCTGCCGAAGCACCTTTCTCCTTTTCAGGATCATGTCGTGGAGTTTGTCCAGGCCGTCCCGGAGTCCGTCTCCGATGATGGCGCAGGCTGACTGCAGATGCCAGGGCGTCGCAGGGCCCAGTTCTTTCAACGCCAGCAATTTCTCAATTTCAGCCAATCCCAGAGAGTGCCTCAAGTCCTGTTTGTTAGCCACCACCAGCAGGGGCACTCCCTGGTTCTCAGAGGTCTTGGCGATTTTATGGAGCTCCGTTTTGGCCTCCTCCATGCGCTCTGCGTCCACAGAGTCCACCACGAATATGATGCCATCTGTGCATCGCGTATATGACTTCCACAGGGGGCGCAGCTTCTCCTGACCGCCGACGTCCCAGAAGTGGAACGTCACAGTCCTGTGGCCGCCCAGGGACACCTTGACCTTCTCCGCATTGAAGCCTTTGGTGGGCACAGTGTTCACAAACTCGTTGAACTGCAGTCTGTACAAGACGGTGGTCTTTCCAGCGGAGTCCAGTCCGAGGATGGCAATGTGGAAAGAGCTGAAAAACGGGACGCTTGAGAGGAAGCTAGGTTGTTCTGATAATCCATTCCCCATCTTTCCACATGGGGAAGGACGGCTGATTTAGGAAGTGTGATCCAACTGTCCGGGAGTAGTCCTCAGAGTCGCTTGTATTCCAAAACGGCTGCAGCAGCTACCTGAAAGAACATTGCACATTGTTGTGGGTTTACAGAAGCACTTAAAGTGAGACTGAACAATAACCTCTGTGGCCGCAGGTGGTAATTTCAGAAGCAATAAAACTTTACAACATTTCCCTGGAATCTTTTCTTGCGGTAAAACAAATACGCAAGTAAATAAGAGTCATAAAGTCAACAAAGTGAGAAATCTAACTAATGTTTAACACAGGCCGGGAGCTTTAGGTCAGACCAGCAAATCCCCAAGAGTACACTGAGCTGAACAAGGGCGCGTTTTTATGCACTGAACTCTTCATTAGTCAGAGGGATGTTCTGTTCTATCATCTTTTAACAGGTCTTGCTTTTGTTTGGCTGCACAAACCTAAAATTTGCAACGGATCCAGCGGTGCCAACGCATTGAAGATAAATCACAGAAAATCATCACCCAACTACAGTTCACCTCATTTCAAATAAACTTCTGTTTACGTTCTCCAGCCTGCAAATTATGCTCCAGAAAAAAAAACTTGTTTCCAGTCCCAGGAGGCAGCTGTTTTTAGCCAAGTCCCACTAAATGAGACAGTCCCAGCACCCAATGGCAGAAAGTTAGCGACGGGCTTGTGTGCACTATCGGACATATTTGTGAGGCGTGTGGACTCAGAACGTGGCTTTTCATGTCGCACCGTGTTTACCGAGTGTGCAGGAACGCTTTAAACAACTTTAAAGGGTGATAACATGCCAGATATTTCGGTTCGTTCAGCTGCCCCCAAGTGGCCAAGTCAATGCTGCCTTAATTATTAGAATACAAATAAAAGACTTTCAAACGACAAAATCAAGTCAGCAGTGAAAGTTTCACTCGGAACAGCTGCACACAAAAGTATCGTAATTAAAATGCATCCTTCGAGATCCGGAGGAGACATCTGAGTTGGATCTAGTCTGGTATGTCAGTGTGATGGTACCATGCTGTAACAGAGCCAAAGCACTGCTCACTGTACAACGACAAAAATTACTTTGATTTATTTCATTTCATTCTTGTAATATGTATGAGGTCACACAATGTGGAGTTTACAGCTGCTTACTAGAATTAAAGCATAAGCACAAATTAATGTGGCTACCTTATTAGACCTGTTCTATGTTTATCATGTATGTCTACCTGCATTTTTTTTTTTTTTTTGGCATATTAAAACAGAGTTTAACCTCTTTCTCTGCATATGAGTTTGAGCTAAGGATAAAAGAAGGGCAATGACAATGCAGGTAAACAAATGCATGTCTTACCTGCCAGTCTGTGGAGAAAAACATTCAACCTAATCCTCTATGAGCACGGTCCTCTCCAGCGCCTCACAGTCGGTGTATTTTCCTCCTGTTTTGTCGGCCACCGCGGCAGCAACAACAACAAAAAAGAAAAACCCTCCGCCAGAGCCAGAAACACCCTGCCCTGCCTGTCCTCGGTGTCCCGTGTGGATCCACCGCTGATGACACTGCTGCTGTGTGTGTGCGTGCCCGGTCTGGAGCAACGCCCACACGGGCACTGCGGGAGCATGCGATTGGTGGGCGCGCCCACTTCTCTGTCAGGTGATTGGCTGAAGCCGGCTGTCAATCACGTTGTCTGCCCGGGAATCAGGATCACCTGTTGCTCCGGCTGTCTGTCACACCATTTTACTTTACGCATCATTATTTTGTGTTTTTAGAGGGTAGGCAACACGTTTATAGCCAGTTTTAATTGTTTTCAAAAACCCCGGAGACGACCTCAGCCAAACCCCCGTAAGAACCAAGGTACATTTTCCTGAGCTGTATGTGCTAAAGTTTAAAAACACGGTCCAGAAATGGTACTTTGAGACGATAATGAGAAATGTGTGGGAGAAAACATGTAGCTCAGGAGCCCGAAATACGTTTATAAACGCGGACGTTTTTTTGTTGTTGTTTTTAAACTATCGTTCGCGGTATTTATTTATCTTTTTGCTCCATTTACACGGTAAACATCCACGGACGGAATGCTAATGTCGGTTAAGCTAGCAGCGCGCGACAGAAGCGATGAAAAGCAAAGTGGACCTACCGTCGGTTCGGAGAAGTCCGCAGCGTGTTTTCCTCGTTTCTGACCGCTTCCATGCCTGTGTGTGTGTGTGTGTGTGTGTGTGGACACTAGGGTCGATGTTGTGTGCAGAAACAGCGCCGCCCCATTCATCCGTGTGTGTTTTTGTTTGAAATGATTGGTCAGAGGGAGGCAGGAAGAGGCTCACACTGGAGTCCACGGAGGATCACAAACACACTTCTGCCAGCTTACATAAGCCGCCTCTGTTTCTCAACTGTTGTGGGTCACAGGAGTTTGTTTGATTTGTTTATTTTTCACACAGACGCGGGGATTATAATCAAGGGTTTTTTACTCCTAATGCCGGCTAATAGGGCGCAGGACGGTTTAAGCACCAAGATGTCAGCATCCAGGGGAACAAATCTCTGTGTTTTTAGGGCTAAATATCAAATATTAAGGCATTAAACAAGCGAGCAAGTAGTTTTAAGTAGGGATGAGTGAATCTGTGGAGTAAAGGGAGAGCTGGGCCATCATAAATATTAAAATAATATAATATCATAGTATGTACAAAAAGCTTTAAAGTGTATACATATATATTAAATGTGTGTGTCTGTGTGTGTATAATAATAATAACAATAATAGGTTTATTTATTAAAACACAGGGTTACAAAGCGCTTTCACATAATCCAAAAAAACACAATTATAGTGCAAAGTTAATGCGATGCAATTTAAAATTAGTTCAAACATGTAAGAATGCAACACAGAGCATCAGCACAGGAAAAGCACAGGAAAGGAGACTAGAGAGAGGACAGGAAAGACACGAGGACAACAACAACACCTTAAAGGAAGCCTATAAAAGTGGGGTTTTAGCATATTTTTTTTTTTTAAGACTCCACAGAGTCAGCAGATCTAACTTCAGTATCGACAGATTGTTCCAGAGCTCAGGAGCAACAACCTCACAAGCACCTCTAGATTTAAAAAGGGACAACCAGGAGGCCTTGATGGTTGGATCGGAGAGGTAGAGTAAGGAGTTAATAATTCAGATATATATATATATGTACGGCCCCGGCCACAAAAAGCCCCATAGAGAAAAAAAAAAATATTAAAAAGTATACACGGAATTACACGGAGACACAGAAAAGAGACCACAAAAGCCGAGACACGGGACAAGTTGAAAACAAGCGAAGAAGAACTACCAAGGAACACCAGGGAAAACGAAGCGAAACAAAACGAAAGAAAATAAAAGAAGATACCTACCAGGAGATCACAGACCTGGGCTGACAGAAGCGGTTTGATTTTAGAAATGTTTCGCAGTTGGAAATAGCAGGTGGGCCTCAAAGTTTAGCTGCTGGTCAAATATGACACCCAGGTTTTTAGCTTTCGATCTGACGTCGGCAGATCGTGAGTTCAACGCTGACCTCCCGATCACAAGGACCTCTGTTTAATCTGAATATAAGTAAAAATGTCCCTCAAACAATAATAATAACATCAGCAAAAACAGAGACATAGTAGAGCTAAGTTATGTGAAGCGTGGTTCTTAAGAATTCACTTTTTCATTTGGTGAATCAACAGATTTATCTAATTAGGTGTTGAATCACTGCTGCACAACTACTGAAAATGTACTAAAAAGTAATCCAGAAGTACGACTTTCATGTTTAATTCCTCAGCATTTAAGCTCGTTTGTTATCATGTCACCAGAATTGATCTTATACGAGTACATAAAACGTGACAAAATACACAAAACAGAACAATGAGACAATAAAACTACCAGAACACTGAATCACAACGACAGTTTTCAGCATTTCCTTTGAAGTAAAGTCCAATTCATTCATTTGTTCATTGATCATCCAATCAGTCTGACCTATTTTTCATGTTTGTTGTTTGGCTTTTTCTTACGTAAGTTTTTTTTTTGCCGTCATTTAATTTACTCAAGAACATTTTTCTGTTTTTTTTTAAATGCTCAGAAATAGCGAGACAAATGCACAGGTGTTTGTCACTGAGAGGAGGCCCACTGACGTGACTGTATGATCTTGCTTATTGTTGCATGGACTCCCTCCCCAGAGGTCCATTCTAAAGCAGGAAGAACAACAAAAAAACCTTGTTGTGTTTCAAGGATTTTCATAATTGTTGTTGTGGCTTTAGCTGCTGATTCTTTATTCCCAATACAGCTTTTTTTCTAATTGCTGTAAAACTTTTGCACAGCGCTGCAGTGAATGATGACATTATTGCATAAAACCCCCATTAGCATCACTTTTTTTTTCCATGAGATGTTGTGTTTTATTGCCTTGTTCAGTACTCGAAAGAATAACAAGGGATTTAAATGAGGAAACCACACGGCGGCTCGTGTGGTTTAATGCGGTGATTGACATTTCTTTCATTTTATATTTAGTCTGCGAGCCACAGATGACTCATTAAACACATATGTGCAGCTATGTCAGATACGCTTCGGACATGTGCAGGCGTTCGTGTTTATAATTCCTGGTTTAGCGAATGAGCAGCTGTCAGTGGGCTTCATGACGCTACAAACGCTGCGTGTCTTTAGATATACTGGGCTGTAAGAGTTTCTTCATATACCAGTCCTGGTAATTCCCTTTAACTGCTTTTTCAGCCCAAGTCCAAATACCTGCTGTGCATTTTCACGCTTAATAACAACACAGTATTTATATGATTAGAATGTATTTTAACATAGTGGCTCTAATACAACTTGTCATGGACTAAAAGCAACATCAAACCACTATTGGGAAGATGCTGCTGGTTTAATTATCAGGCCGTTCATGTACTTTACACTCTCCGTAGGACAGATTCTGTGACTATAGTGAGGGCTGGGATCTCATGCTGGACTTTGAATATTCAAAATAGCTCCAGAAGTCAAAGCAGCACTATTTAGCAGTGCAGAGCTTGCAGTCGTCTTTACTTCTGTCATTGTCACCCATACATACCCGTCAGGTTAACATAAAGATGTACTGGGTGGTATCGGAGGAGGTTTACAAAACTATGAGTGGAAGTTCATCTACACATCACCGGGCCTGATCAACAATACAGTTGTGACTCGATAATCTGACCCTTAACAATCCTAAACCTTGTTATCTGACAGGTTTTTAGGAAAAACCAACAGAACCCATAAAAACAGCCTTAACATAGCGACAGCCTTGGATTCTGACTCCGACATGACATTTAATGTCACCAATCAGGATGACGGCGTATTATCTGACTGAACAATCCCACAGATTGGCTACGTTCACACTGCAGGACTTGATGCTCAATGAGGATTTCTTTGTGACTTCCTTCACGTTTCCAGTTCAATGCGACTTGTATGTGATCTGCTGTGTGAACTTCATACGACCCAAAAGTGTCCCGCATGCGCAGAAGAGGACACGACAACGTCACACGCAGCGAGCGTGCTCAGTGTTTATGGAAGTAAACATGGATGGTAACGGTGGAGCGTATCTGCCACTCCCCCGCCGCCACCGATGGTGGAAACAGAAGTGTGAGCGCTAACTAAACTAGCATCAGCAGCCAAGTACTGCCTGTGTGTTCTGGACACTTCCACCCCGTCAGAGCGCTGCCCCGGGGTGGAAGTGTCCCCCGACCAGGACGAATATTCAAATATTCATCATTAATTGGGCCTGAATATCCAGAGAGCAGAAAGTTCTATTGGGACCAGCCCTATTAGTTATTATAACAACTATGAACAATGAATATTAACAGCTAATGATCCTTCCAGCATCAAGCCCTCCTTGTATCTGGACCTCTGTCTGGACAATCCGACATAAAAGACAGTTTTATGGGTACAACCCTACTTTCAACTGCGGTGCTACAGCTGTGAACTTTTACAAATTTTAATACTCATGTACAGTTTAGTCCAAAGGCTTGACGTTACAAACTAAAGCATTTTTTTTAGGTTTCCTGTAACTAAATAAATAAACAGTGAAACTTCCAGTGGGATGATGACAGGACATATTTAACACTTAACAACATTCAGAATATTTACATCCTCTTGTCAAACAGCAAAATGAATCACTTAATTATAACTTTAAAAGGACAAAGAGCAATAAAGAGTCATGATTTATTTTCCCAACGTCGACACAGTTTCTCTTCTACGCGGTCCAAGAAGGCGCTGTATGCTCCTCGTCTCCGTCTGTGTCTCTGTGAAACAGATTTGCACAGTATTAAAAAAAAAAAAGGCCAACTTCAGGAAGACTCAAAGAACATGCAGACCTTCTTATGTATTTGTACTGTTTAGGTAACTTTCAGCCAGAGTTTCTGTACAGATTAATGCCAGCCAGCCAAACATTTTACTGTGGCCACATATGACCCATGATGAAAGTAAATCAATTAAAACATGCTATATTGTCCTCTCAGGTACAAATAAAAGACGTGCATCATTACTGGATCATTGCTGATGTGTATGAGATACTTCAATGTTTGGTCAAGGTTGACTTTTAACAGCTTCTTATGCTGATAGGGACTTTAATCTTTACCACTGTGCTATAAGGTCCTCACATGTGTCCTTTGAGATATCATTTCCACAGCTCACAATCTGCATAATGACTACATGATTTGGACTCGTTTTTACATCAGAAGCCTATGGGACTGACATCACTGAATAAAGAAGTGCTAATTTATGCAGGTGTGATGTTGAAACACCATCTACTGACGGTATAGGAGGCTGATTTTGGAGGCCAGGGCAGCGGAGGGAGGATGAGCTGCAGATCCCATTTAGGCTCTGCGGGTTTGTAGGTGTCCATTTGTGTCTTGGTCGTCCTGGGATTACGGTCGGTCTCAGATCTGGTGGGCCGCACTAGAAAATATGTTGTAATTATTCAGTAATTTGTATAAGCATGCAGAAATATTTCTTGACTAAATAAGACATGTTCTGCTCTTGCTAAATTGTGATGCCATCGATTAAAAGCAAAGCAAAAAGGAGGGAGAGACCAAGTCATCAGTGATCAAATTAATCCACTCACATGTGTCCAAGTGCTTTAACTTGAAATCCAGGTTGCCAGGATCTCTCGCACATGCAGTTATTATATCTGGTCGGTCCTCATCCAGCTGGAGTGTTTAAAAGCAATGTTTCATGTGTATATCGCCATCTCGTGG